AGGCAGAAGAGATTAAGAAGAGGTGGCAAGATTACACAGAAGAACTATACAAGAAAGAGCTTAACATCCCTGATAACCACGATGGGGTGGTCACTGACCTCGAGCCAGACATTCTGGAATGTGAAGTCAAATGGGCCTTAGGAAGTCTGAGCAACAACAAAGCTAGTGGAGATGACAGCATTCCAGCTGAGCTATTCAAAATCTTAAAAGATGATGCAGTAAAAGTGCTGCACTCAATATGCCAGCAAACTTGGAAAACTCAACAGTGGCCACAGGATTGGAAAAGGTCAGTTTACATTCCGATCCCAAAGAAGGGCAATGCCAAAGAATGTTCAAACTACCGCACCATTGCACTAATTTCACATGCTGGCAAAGTTATGCTCAAAATCCTACAAGCTAGGCTCCAGCAGTATGTGGTCTGAGAACTACCAGAAGTACAGACAGGATTTTGAATAGGCAGAGGAACTAGAGATCAAATCGACAACATACACTGGATCATGGAGAAAGCTAGGGAGTTCCAGAAAAACATCTCCTTCTGTTTCATTGATTATGCTAAAGCCTTTGACTGTGTGGATCACAACAAATTGTGGCACGTTCTTAAAGAGATGGGAGTACCAGACCATCTTATTTGTCTCTTGAGAAACCTATATGTAGCTCAAGAAGCAACAGGACACAGAACCACTGATTGGTTCAAAATTGAGAAAGGAGTTCGGCAAGGCTTGTATACTGTTTCCCTGCCTATTTAACTTATATGCAGAGCACATCATGAGAAAGGCAGGGCTAGATGTATCACAAGTTGGAATTAAGATTGCCCAGAGAAATATCAACAACCTCAGATATGCAGATGATACCACTCTCATGGCAGAATGCTTTTTTCTTTTAAAAGAATGATATTTAGTGACAATCATACTGTCTAAAGGACCTCAGAGCTTGGAGTTCTTTATTCTGATTTTGGTCTGTGCATGTTTCATAGATGTAAGGGATCAGAACCTTGTTTTATATGGAAAGTCGACTCAGTTTTTTCCATAGGCTGCATTTCTTCCATTTTATCAGAATCCATGGTATCCTCAAGGATCAAGCTGGCATCAACAGGAGGTGAAGGAAGCACTTTATTTCTCTTTGTGCAGGAAGGGGAGCTCACACAGGCCAGAAGCTGTCAATTTTCCATAACACTCATTAGATCAGAAGCTGTTTAAATCAGCTTGCCTACCCTCTGATTGCAAGTGTGATTCTGGCCTGCAAGAGCATGGGAGAGGTTCCACTAGGTCATGGCCCAGAGCTGGCATCCCTTAGGAACTGAAGCTTCCAGTGACAGTGGCTCTGGGAAGACAGCAGAACCAGTTCCTGGACCCACTGTTTCACATTCTCCTTATCTGGTCCCTGCAACCTCCAGGAGGTGCCATTTCCTTTGGATTCTGAGGAGCAGACTTTGGACTTCTCTAGAGACTCCTGGCTCCCCCTTCTACAAATTTCATTTCCTAGGAGAAGCCAATGCCAGTAGAAAGAGGCTGCTGGCCCTTTAATAGCCAGGAGAAACACCAAGGAAGAATGGAGGCATTGCTCATTTGGGGGGGGGGTGAGAGAGAGCGAGAGCGCGAGCGAGCACAAGCCTGTATCTCTGCTTTTTGGTTTTTCAGAAATGAAAAACATTCAGTTTGACCTTCTGTTTTAATTTATTTCAGAATCCGATACACATGCTTGTAATAGCTGGTAGCATCGTATTGTTCTTTGGTGTTACTGGGATTTTTGGAGCTACCTGTGTCCTCTGCAATCCACCAGCCAATCCATATTGGATAATGCAGAGACAACTGGGTGATCCAAAGTTTTATCTGATTTGCACCATCACAGTTCTTGCGGCTCTTCTTCCAAGGTATTTTACTGCTTTAGCGGGTAGATGGAATTTATTTTGGGGTGACCCACCATGCCTTAAAGGGCCATTTCACATATTACAAAGCATCAGACCTAGGTTTTCCCACTGAATATAAAAACAGCAGGGGAGTTGCAGTCACAGCTAATTCTGGCCATTTGCTGAATGTGCCTGTACAATAGATGTCTGTTCAGACACCTGCTTGTTATATGCACAGTTTGCATTCCAAGGTGTTTGCTTAAACAAACAAAAGAAAAGCCCTTAGCAATATTCAAGATCTTTTGACCAAAACATTTATGAATAGCTGTACCAGTCAAAGCCAAACAAAAAGGCTTCATTCTTCTTAGGCAAGCGGGAAAGGGTTCAGAGCAGGGCAGGAAGGAAGATCTGGGGACTGGAAACAAAGCCCTGCAAGGAGAGATTGAAATAATTGTGCATAAATATCCTTGGGAAGATTGAGGGGAGCTATGATAACATTCTTCAAGAACTGAAAAAGTTGTCCTACAGAGGAAGGTCAGGATCACTTCTCAGTCATCCTAGATACAGAATAATGGGCTCAAGTTACAGTAAGCCAGATTCTGGCTGAACATCAGTAAGAACTTCCTGACTGTTAAAGTAGTACGACAATGGTATCAATTACCTGGGGAGGGTGTGGGTTTCCCCAAACTTGAGGCATTCAAGATGTAACTGGACAGTCATCTGAGAGGGATGGTTTAACCTGGGGCTCTGCACTGAGCAGGGGGTTGGACCTGATGGCCTTCTTGCCATTTCCAGCTCTCTTGTGATTCTACGATAGCTCTCATGGATGTGCTTGATCTGGGTTTAGCCTGCCACTCCAAGTGTTCAGGGGGCTCACATGACGAAAGGTTCAGCCATGCACACGAACACAGACAGATGGTCCACATAGAAAGCCGCATGTCAGTAGGAAGAGATTTAGCCCAGCCTGTGGAGAAAGTGGATAGGGAGGATTTTTTTCCCATTCATAATAGGGCTACCCTATTAAGCTACATGGTGGAAGAATCAGAAAAGCGGGGAGAGGGGGGTAAAACCCAACACTTGGATTGCTCGAATGTTAATGATGCCACCGATGGAAATCACCTCTAGTGCAAGCCATCCCATTGCCACAGCTGTCCTTTCATGCTCTACCCCTGGCCAGATGCTGCTTGCTTTGCCCTCCAGAGCAAGGCATTGGCAGGGAGATGGCTGGGGACTACAGTGGTTGTTGCAGGAGTCGGGGTGCTTTCAAAGCCACCCCCTGCTGGGCACATAGCCAGGTTTGCACAATTTGCGAAGCCGCATGCCACACGGGTAATCAGGCAAGTAGCATGGCCAGCACAGTGAGAAATAGAAACCACCATGGGCCCTCCATCTCCCCGCTCCCATGAGCACGTGGCTGTTGCAAGCCAGTCTACCTCTTGCAGACCACCTCTTTTCTCAGCCCAGTAATCTAACACCAGGTCGAACAAGCAGATCAATTCAGTAAGCAGGGCAACCCTCCCTAAGAGTGGTGCCATTTCATTTTCGTGAGGAAGGGAGGAGGAAAATTCATTTTGGTGTCAACTTCTGTATCACAAAACTTCATTGCTGGAGGGAAGGGGCAGGGAGAAAAAGTGCTTTATGGCTACCTTGGGTAGTAAGCATATTCTTTCCCTATTCAGAATAATTTCACAAAAAGGCCACTTACCCAAACACATTTACTCCATGACAATACAGTTTCTTTGCCTTTCCACTTTTGTTGTAGGTATATGTTCAGGGTGATCCAGAACACAGTATTTCCAACGCCCCTGCTGAAAGCTAAGCAGTTTGACGTAAAGGCCCATAAAGGATGGAAGAAACTGCGGCACAGTGAAAAAATAGACTCACTCACCGAGAGTTGATCACCAGCAGGCACACAGGAATTCTGTGCCTTCCCATCCTGCTGACTCCACAAAATAAGCTGTTTCATCAATGTTGTCAACACACCTGATCCCATTTCATAACAGTTTTGGAGACAGCCTGAGCAAGAGTGCCTTTTCAGATTCATTATCCAGAACCCATATGGCCATGGTGGCAAGCGAGTTGTGAGGGCACTGGGATGTTTTACACTCTCAAAGGAATTCTGTTCTAGAACCTATGAAGCTAATGGTTCTTAAACTGGAAACCTGGAGCTCATTTCTGAAGAGAACCACGCTGAATAAGGCTGTTTTGGATTCTTCCTAAGGCAAATAGAAGCCTTTAACATATTCTTACTCTGACTCATCCAAAACTAGGAGGGTCTCCCATTATTGTTCCTTTGCATGCAGCCGCTATCCATTGCTTGCACTTTTAAAGAAAGCACTCATAATAATTTATTCAAGATATAAGTAGGCATTATGAATTCTAGAAATGCCAAAAAACCTGATGTCCCTTGTCCCGTATCAGAGAACTAATATGAGAATTCATTGAATATGACCATGGAAAAGCTGCTGCTGAAGACTGGCTAGGTGGGGAGGCTTTGGGCTTTCTGAACTTTGAAAGAATGTTATTCTATTTTATTATTATAATGCTCAGTTCTGGGACATGGGGCATTAGCAGTTCCTCCTGCAGACAGCTATCTGCAAACAGCTAAGCAGTATTCTTCACCAAGCAAGACTACTAGACTAAATATGGCATGTTTGAAGCCATTTCTCTGGAGAAGAAACCAGCAGAGGATGTGGGACCGACAGATTTCTACACAAGTGAAGCATTTTATATAAATTATGATGATTATGTGAATGCGAGCGCATAGTTTTACATTTGCTCTTTTCAAATAGATATTTCTATTATCTATAGTACCTCCTCTGGTGTGGCCCTGCCTCTCTCTGTAACAGACTGGCTTTGAGGAGACCTAACTGTAAAAGGAGGCTCCATGAATACCAGTGGAAAGGTGTTTGGGATTGGGGATTCCCTTGGCACAGGGCTCCTCTTAGCTATACTGCTGAACTTGAGATATTCTGAGTAAATTTATGTATGGCTCCTTTTCTCTTGGGGATTGCATCAGGCCCTCAGTAATCATTTCTAAAAGTATGGCTTAGATCCTCTTCAGACCATCTTGTAGTAGATGCTATATATTATGAAGGAGCTACCCCTTCTAGTCCAAGTGTGTGTGTCTAAACACCAACCACAAAAAAGATGGAAGATGCATCAGGAAAACACAGGAGAGTTAGTAGTAAGAGACAACATTGTCTGGAACGTGAAGGAGACAGGATAATTGCCTAATAATAGCCTCATCTGGAAGTACATTTTTCTAGTTGGACTTCATATCCTAGAGGAGGGCATGTTAATCCCTGTATCATCATATCACATTTCTTCATATGAAAAATAAGAAAAGCCTGGCCTGGACAAACACACAGATGGCTTATTCTAGAAAGCCAGATGCGTCAGATAAAAGTTATTAGGAACAAAATTCATTACCATATATCATGTTTTCATTTTGTGACTTTAGCACTGCTTATTGGAGGGGAAATTGGATATATTTGCTTCTTTGCAGATGAGCTGCAAAAACAGCTACCACTAAATAGCAAAATATTGACATTAGTGTTCTGTTTTGATTTTTTTTTTTAAGGTAGCCTGTTATAGGAACCAGAGAATGCTTCTTCCTGCTAAGTGCAGCATGGAGGGTGTTTCAGGACTATGGTTACAGACTTCTGACAGAATTTAATCTAACACAAAGAGGCCTCTGAGGAGTACATTGAAAGTGATGCTGAAGGCCATTTGGAACTCATACAAAGTTTGGTCCTCAAGTGGTATTCTCTTTGGCCTTAACCTAGCTAAACTAATTGAAACAGGTTGAACCAGAGTCACAACAAATTAGTCCTGTTGCTTACATGGGACATAGAGAGCATTCTCAGTGCCTGTTCTCTTATTCCTGTAGTCAGGATGGTGCTATGATACCAGTAATTTTATAATGCAAATTTGCAGAAGCTCATATGATTTCTTTTTTTCAAGTATGAACATACAGAATCCTGATCCACTGCATCAAGGTTACTAATGATGCCATGACTGGGGAAGAGTTTTCCGTTAAGGAATTAAGTGCCTCACATTTCAGTTCTACAGTTGCATGATGACTAATGTAAAAGCATGAGCAGGAAAGGCTCTTAGTTTTGAAGCAATATTCAAAGCCCCCTCAGAAAGAAGCTTGTTGGCTATCTCTCCAAGGATGTAACTGCCTCAAAGAGGAAGAAAAGGAATGTGCCAAGCTCAGAGGCTTATGTACATCTGGAGTGGAAAGCACTGAATTGTGCCCTAAAAAGATTTGAGAGCCTCTGGCTTAGGATACTTTCAGCTGAACCAGAGAAGTCAGCAATGTGATGTAACCCTGGCCAGGAACAATACCACATTTGGCCAAAGAAATCTCCTTGGGTTTTTCTGGGGAGTAGAACTTGGCTTCCAAGCCCTCACCCTGGAGGAAACCTGCCAGTCCAGCAGCATCCAGAGGAATCCCCATTTTCTCCAGTCTCAGAGGATGCAAGTGCCAGGGGCTTGACCAATGCTGGACAAGTAGCTTTGTATGGTGCTGACCACCCGCTACTGGGACAACACACGCTGCCCAAAGCTAAAGACTTAGCCAGCACTTGAGGTGAGGGAACAACTTCTTTTCTCAGTGCTGGCCGAGTGGCTTTGTATGACAGGCGCTTCAGACAGTGCTGGGAGGAACACTTGCTCCTTCCAACACTGACTGACTGCCCTTTTCCTTGCTGAGAGACACATCAGATCCTCTCATTGTGAAGGAAAAGCAAAATGGGCCGAAGATACACAATGACATCATTCAACCCTTGATGTCACTGGACCTGCGTAGGGCCCAACAAAAGGTAATTGGACCGCCTGTACAATTCTGGTTCAGCACTAGAGCTATATGGTGACATCCAATGGCTGGTTCATGCTTTGATCACAGGCTAGAAATTGGCCATGCCCACTTCTAAGGCCATGAAGTAAAGCTTTCCCAGGGTTCCACATTTCGTGGAGAAATAGGTATATGTGATTAGCAGCACTGGTCATAAGCTCGGCGATGTCGATCATCTGTGAATTGTACCTAGCTACATTAACTTAAACCTTAACTTCTGTTTAAACCATTGTGTTCAAGGGTGTTCTTTCCAGTCTGCCACAAAAATGCATGTTTGAATAGATATAAGTAAAGTTAAATTAATTGTGAAATTTTACATATGTGTAACTGAAAATACAAAGAAGCTGGAAATGGTTTTAGTTAATGTGCTGAAGTTATGCCACATCTGTAGAACAACAGCAAAAAATATATGATACTGAAATGTAGAAAACAACAACTGACTTGGACTAAATGGGCATGGTAAACAAATGGAAAACTACATTTGTGTATACTGTATGTCTGAAAAGAGATTCCAGATACCCTTGTATCATGACCTAGGCAATCAGTACAGGAAAGGAGAGGTGAATTAAAAAAAAACATTGAAGCTGGCCTGCATTCACCATTCCAGCCCTTTTAAGGGGCCATGGAGAGGTATGCAATCCAATAGTGCCACCTATGGGTCATTAAAAAAATAACTCTACTACTTTGATGCCCATGGCATGTTCCAAACACATCTTTGAAATGGATCCCCAAGATGTTACGATGATAAGATGTAAATTTGATGGCACTGAAATGAGTCACCATTCCACAATATATAAATACATTATAATAGTTCAAATACCTTAGTGGCTCCCTGATTTATTAATGGTTGGTCCCAGGTCCTGACAAACTTTCATCTGGGCCAGGGTAGTGGTCATACATTGACTGATGAGACTGCCAGACAAGGCTTTTTTCTTGTGCAGTCACCCTGCCTTAAACACAGAATTTTACAGGAGAACCAGATGATATCATGCTTTATTTGCAACCCTTCCTATGTATTCCCACAGCTTCTCCCATCTTTTTTCTTACCATAAAAAAATCCATTGAGGACGACAAGACAGAATAGGTATACAGTGCCTTTTGACTGGTAACACTAAAAGCTCTTTGTATGGAAGTACCCTGAGCCAAGAAGCTCATTTCCCACCATCTTCCTGCTGGAATACTTGATCACTGCTATGAGTAACTTGCTCAAAAACCTTATTCAGGGTGATCTGCTCCTACAAGGGTGGGAAGCTGAAATGGTTTTTGTTCACAGATCTTTTTTTTAAAAAGTAAATAAATACATGCATTTTTGCTTTAAATGGGGTTGAAACAAAAACAGACTTGTTTGTTGACTTGACATGGGTTGCATATGCTGCTTCACTGGTGGCAGTAAAACAATATTGGACCAGGAATCCTATCAAAGAAAGGGGGGTGTCTCCTCTTATAAACTTTGGATACAATGGGTTGCCTATGTATGGCCACCCATGTGGAAAAAAATGACTGGATCAGAAGAGTGACATCTGGTACTTTAAAACCCACAGAAAGCATTGGCATGATCATACAGAAAGGGGGGGAGCAGTATAAAAAAAACTAGTGCTATATATAGAAATAAATCTTTTCAGCGCATATTGTGGAGGAAATTATTAGAAAATACACTGCAGTACTGCAAGTTGAGCCTCAGCACACAGTTTTTCTTTAAAGAGTGGCAGGGAGAATAGAACGAGTTAAGAAAAGAAAGATCCAAAAAGACCAAGAAGTGGGGGGAGACCATCAAACTCAGCCAGGGGACATGGGGAGTAGCAGTGTTTTATAGGTAATTAGTGAGCGAAGGCTGGAAAACTGGGAAGTTTAGGACAGGGCTGAATTTGTCTGCAAGTCCCCCTAGGTCACAATCCTATGCATACTGAAATGGGAAAAACCCTACGATTACCAGCATACCCCAAGCAGCCAATGCCTACCAGAGAATGCTGGGAGATGTGGGACTTTTTCTTCAGCGAGCACAGGATGGCGCTCCTTATTTTAACTTAGAAAGTCTTTTCTTACTGTAATCCAGTGCCCATTACCTGGGACTAAACCTACTGAAGTCATGCATAGTATATGAATAGCAAATTGTAACAGTTCATAGGATAATGATGCAGCATCACCATGGTGCTCATTTTTCAGTCTGATGCACAAGTTAGTTCATGCAAATTATCTTAGATCTGAGTGAAGGCTAGAATGGAATCTTACATAAATTCAACATGAACAAAACCATTGTGGATATTATATTTTAAATCATGAACACTTTTGAACTTAGGTTTACATATGTTCTTGAAAAATAACTTTTAAATAATTACAATATTACACATTGTTTATAGATGTTAATGGTAAAAATTCATTTTTAAAGTTAAAAAATAAACAAGAAAAAGCCCCCATCCAATTGTATCCTAACTGGAAATTCTGTCTAAGAAAATTCAAATTAAGCAAATGTGCATTTTTGCATGGCAATCTGAATTAGGAGAAAGTGTTGGGAATTCCACTGTCCACCCAATCGCCAATTAATTTCAGTGTTGCCTTGCTGAAATCAAGGGAACAACAGATACAGTTTGTACTTACTTCAGCTCAGATTTTTCCCTCTGTGGATATGACAGTCTGATCTGTCCTAAACTGGCCAGCATGCCTGTGATAAGCTATGTAGATTACCTCACATTCCAGGCATGCTGGTATTTTGTGCTTTTTGGTGGTTCAGTGCACATGACAAAAGTGCCATAATGAATTTCGTACATGCAGTAAGAAAAATAGGCCACCGTATTTTAAATAATAATACACTTGGCCTATTTTGGATGAGTCCATACATAGGTATATGAGTGTGTGGGAAACAGCATGAACATGGCCACATTTTTTCTGACAGCTGAACCCATGAAAGGGGTCAGTTTTCTTCATGCAGTTGTGTACTCACTGATACAGTCCCATGGAGCCATTTGTCCATGTGCCACATGTGCTGCAGATAATGGTACCTATGACACTTAATATCATGTCTGGAATTTGCTTGGGAGTTTGCTCACTTTTACTGACCTTCAATCCCACGGAATGAACACAAACATTAGAAAAGGCAAAGGGTTACTTTTTGTTGAAAAAAAGAGATACAATGCTGAACGAATTGAAGCTTTTCAATCCATATAAATAGTAAAATTTAGTAATACAGTGGACACTGTATATTACATACTACATAAGGTGCATCAAAAGAGAAGAACGCTAATTATAAGTTCTACTCTAACAATAATCTGGACCATGTGGCAATCCTGCAAGATCTGATCAAGCAATAAAATTCCAAATTTGTCCTACAACTTCTGTATATCAAAGCCTATTTTCAACTTTGACTAATATATTTTAGATTGCTGGGTATGTGGTCTTTGAAAAACATTAACTAGGGTCTGTTTCCAGTGCAGATGTAGGAGAGAAAATTGCAGACAGGTGCCATTCCACAAGATGGACTGTATCAAAGCAGTTTAAGAATAGGACAAATTGAACAGAATCAGTGCAGGTTCATTAGAATCTGCAAAAAATGGAGCAAATCAATTTAGGGAGCTGTCAAGAGAAAGCAACATTGTAGGACTTTTTTCTGTCTAAATAATCCTGGGATTGTGCCCTTAGTCTGGAACCAAAGGCAACCAATTTAGGGATGGGTTTATTTACCCTGTAATGCCTGACAAAGAATGATGGCCAAGCAGCTGTTCTGCATTCCCCCACCAAAGCTGGAAACGTTAATTTGTGCTGGGGAGAAGCCCTGGAAACCTTAGCCTTCCATTTCTGCATGATTGATTGTGTTTCAGCTTTTCTGCTTATCTTTAGCTAACAGAGTAGTGTCTGTTCTAGAGCTGAAACTAAAAACCACTCTCCTAACATCTAGTGTGTGAATAAGGACCAGATAACAGCAAGTCTAGATTATGAGGGGAAAATGAAATAGAAGTCATCTTGGGCTCAGAGCCCATTTTTGGTTAAAGAACAATTTTATCCTTCAGCATGGTGTACTAGTTAGGGAGAGTCCATACCCTCCTACTGATTATAATGGTAAAAAGGCTAATTAGTTGTACAGAAAGTACAGTGTGACCCAACAAGCTGGCTTGACAGACAATTTAAGTAATGCTTCTGGGACCACATTTAGATTCCAGAAGTAAACCATTGGTATACGGAACAGAAAGGCAAGTACTTGCTCCTAAAAATGACCTTTCTTACCCCAGAAAATTGTGCAAAGCTATTTCTAATATTTTTGATTTCTTTTTGTCAACCTTTCACAAATGCGCTCTTATGACTGTCCAATATGCATAGTCTTCCCTGATCAATTTCCTTGGATATTTGGCTCTCAAACCAAGTGCTAAGGAGTGGCAACATACAAGAAAACTGACAAGGTAAAATGGGCTAATGCACACATTGTCTAATTGCTGAGTTACCAAGTGAAATGCACCAAAAAGGGCAGCAAAGGAATTTGCACCAAAGTGGGAGGGGAGGGCAATTTATCTCACCTAGCAATGTAATCCTCTCAGTGTGAAGCACTGAAATGAGACTTCTCAATCTCCCTCCAGCACTTTTCTGATTATCCAACAGCTCTAGAAAGGGAAGAGATGGGTTCCCACCACCCAGAGCACCATTTCATGGCTGCTTTTGGAGCATTTACTGCTGTAGTTATTATGGTTCCCTAATAGTTGTAAAGCAAAAACAAGAAAATGCTGCAATGGTGCCTGAATGGGATGAAATGAATGAGGGTGAGGGTGAGATTAAGCAATGCTAGTGCTGGGTTGCCATTTACTCTGTCCCATTTTGCCATCTTTTTAACAAGTCAAGAATATTTGCACAACTTGTTAGATTGGGAAACAGACATGAATTTAATAGCTGGGAAGTGAAAATCTGTGCCACTTTAAGAACAGGGCAGTAAATGAAAAGGAAACACATGCATTGGCAGTAATGGAGTGATTACTGCAGGTGTGCAAATTTTGCCTGTATTTCCTTCCCAGACATTGTATTTACATATAGTCCTGTGTGTGTGTGTTTGGGCGTGGGGCGCGGGAATGGCTTCAGAACTGTTTGGAGCTGCAAGGGACACTGAGGGAAGGAAGGCAAGAACAAGCCTGTGGAGCCATCTAATTCCTGGAGCTTAATTGTTGGTTACATACATCATGGGTTGTTCCATGTGTAGCTTATTCACAGGGTGCTTTAGCACATCATATGAACCTGCCCAGTGTCAATCAAGCCTGAATTCCCTGTCTAGAGACAGAAAAATCTCATATCTTACTGAGCACATGATTATTTCTAAATGCTGTAATGGCCTGGACTCATTAGAAAGAATTCTTCTGTTTGATCAGGAAGCTGTGTCACATGAGACAGCCTGCTGTTATGGGGGCACTGTGCATCGTTCATTCTCATGATATGCTCTTTGTCATGGATAAGTATAAATGCATATTTCCTGATCCCACAGTAACCAACAGTTCAGGAATGACCTGTGTGAGCTGGAGAAACCAATCACCAAATTCTGATAATGCAGCTCATTGAAATAAAAACAAAGACGCTTCCTGTGTGATGGCCTCAGTGGCACCCAGAAACCAACATCCGTCAGATCTTTTCATACCATGGTGCATTATGGTACCACAGCTAGCACGGAGACTAGAATCTCTGAAAGAGTTGAACCTCACATAGTTGCTTGGATTATCAAAACAGAGTAAGACAACCATCTAATCCCTCCCTAGGGACCAAAGGGATTATTGAATCTGCACGAGTTTCTGACCAAGCAGAACTGTGGGAACATAAGCTGAGTGGTAAACAAGTCCCTCTGGGATTTTTGCTATCTGCATGTGGGATACCACAATGTTTTCTTTGAAAGACCTACAAATCCTATCGTAGAATTCTCAGAGATGGCATCTATGGCTCATCTATCCTAGATCATTCTCAAGAACTGAGCCTCCCATTATGTGGAGGAAAGACCAGCCCTGATACCATTGCATTTCTTTTATAAATAATAAGATTATGAATTCCCATTCTATACCCACAGCAGTCTCACATTTACTGTTATTAATTCCTTGAAACCTACCTTTTCCTATGCCCATTCAATGCATAATAACTGAGCTAACCTATTCCTGATGGTTTCGTGACAGTGTATATATGTAAGGCAAAAACAATATATCTGTAAGGCAATTCAGTATTACTCCCTCCCACAATGCAAAGTGAGCTAATGACAGAATCCAGAGATTTCATGATCTGTAGCTCAAACTCTTAGCTGCTACACTATTCCATCTTGAAGACACAAAGGAGAGCAAACAGACTCTGAGCTAGTAGTGAGTCTGGCTTTTGAGTCAATGCTGTGTCCCTTTGTGAGAATCCTAGCAGTGCTGGGTGAAATGTGCAGTGCACTGCCTTCTTTCTTTTCTCGGTCTTGCATTTGAAGAGCAGGGTATAATCTTTAAGAATCTTTAGGAAAATTCTCCATTGTCAGAGTTGCCATAATACAGGGGTATGTGGGTCACGAGGTTTGTTCTGAGGATTCGCAAGCAGTATCTCTTTTCTCACTGAACCCTGCATGTGATTTGGCAGAACTGCACCGAGGTCTCATTACATGTTTGAGGCCCCTAAAATAGTTAAAAGAGTTTGACTGAAGCTGTGGCCATTTTACACTCCTAAGAGTATACGACTATCTCCATTCCTGACTTTTTTCCTCCCTCTGTAGCTGATACTATTTTTTCTACGTTAGGCCAGGTTGTTGTAAGGTCCTCCTGAGTTAACGCAGTTTAAAACTTTAGGAAAAATAATATCCTGAAGGAAAAATAATAGCTTGAAGAAACTGCAGGTTATGGGTGAGTTTGTCTGGCTTTGGTTGTCCTACTCAGTTGCTAAAGATGGTCTTGGAATGCTTCCTCAAGTAGCGGTTCTAGCATTATCAATCAAATGGCAGTGTGCACATATTCTTGCTTATACCTCAATGTTTTCTCTTGTTAAAAAGGGGGAAAAACAGAACTACTGGTAGGAAAACATGAGATGGCTATATCCAGAAGATAACGCAACTTGAAGACATGATGTTGTATGAATGAGGCAGTGCAATTACATAAGAAAAGCTTTCACTGGATGTGCTGCATTGATGTTTCCAAGCACAACAGGCTTCTCTATATGAGTGGTTTAACTCGCTGCTTTACTGGGGCTTTTTCTGTATCTATTGGAGAGAAAAAGTGTGTCATTGGCTTGTGTGTGGGGGGGTTCTGCCCGGTTTATATTACTCTGCCTTTTAAAATATTCTGTTGACCAGCTACAAGGTGGCAATGTGGTATAGCTGTTATACAGCAAACTTCCCACTTTACAGGAGGCTTTTGTTGCAGAATGTTGCACTTTGAAATTTAATGACAAAATTTCCTTGTTCTAAAACCTGACTGGAAAAGAGCCAGCATGGAGTGGTGGAGAGAGTGCTGGACTGGGAACTCAAGTGATCTGGGATCTAGCCCCTACTTGGCTATGAAGCTCACCAGGTTACTTTGGGCCAGTCACTCACTCTCAGCCTAATCTACCTCACAGAGTTGTTGTTGTGAGGATAAAATTGAGCTATATAAGTTGCCTTAGATTCCTCACAAGAGGAAAATAAAAAGTGGGATATAAATGCAATGTAAAGAAGAGGCTCTGGAGAACAATGTTGTGAAAAGTCCTTACCAACTTCTGTGAGGGATCATGAGCTCACAATAAATGCCTTGTGCAGAGAAGTCCTATGGCTGAAGCAGCATGTGAAATATAAGGGAGAAAGGGCAACTTTTGAGAGGCTGCATTGTATCCTTGCCCTGTCATACGATCTGGATGTAAGCACTGGCTGGGGACATGAGGGCTTGCTCTTGCAAAAATGCTGATGTAAAGAAGATTACCCTTTTCTGCCTCTTACTGGAGATTCATTGCTAAGCCTTGAAGTTTGCTGAGTCAAACAGAGACCATCTACCTTCTGTTGCAACAGAAGAAACCTGGACGGCTGCACAAAGGGGCACAGTGCCCCAAAGAGTCTCTCCAGTCTATCTCCGTACACACTTTGTCTCCTGTCAGCAGCAGATGGATGCAGTCCATTTTGTGGAGTAGTATTGAACCTGTGTTAGTATGGAAAGAGGGCATTTCAGCATAATCGTATGAGTGGCATATCCAGAGGACTGAAAATCTGTGTTACTTCCTAAAATAGTCCCCTTAAAACTCACTGTTAGAGGTAAATTCCTGTCGTATATTTTATATAGAACAGCTTCTGGGATTATAAAGCAAAACTTTTATTAGCTACTAGAGGTTAGAGATTTGTGTGGAACCTCTAAAGTGTTGGTATTATTTCTAGCAGCCGTAAAATTGCGCGGACATTGTTTTATCCATATTGTGATTCTTCATTTAAAAAGTTTGTCTTCTTTAACGGTCATCCTCATTTTAAAATGATTGGTTTACTGTTGCCATAGCAATCAGGCTTGCTTTGTTTGCACTTTCCCCAAAGACACAGAGGGATGGCCACTGGCTTAAGCAATAAATGCAACCAATATAGGCATAATTCACATGTGCACCTGAAGCACCCAATTCTGTTAAAGTGAATGAAGACAAAATCCAGCACATGAAATCAAGCCGACTGGAGATGGGGGCAGGCAAATTGCTGAGTTTCCAAAAGAAGTATTTTGAATAGATGTGCCGATAACTTTTGCAAATATGCAAACACTTCATTGCAAGTGATGGAAACTGAAATCATCAGTAGGGTGTGTGTGTGTGTGTGTGTGTGTGAATTTTTCTTGATGTTTTAGAAAGCTACTACTTCTGCAGAACTGCTAATTTTAATTGTTTTAAGTTATCGTATTAAATGAGAACCCATCTGATTCTTCCTTTAAGCTTTTTGTTTGTGAGTGTACATGAAAGTAATGCAGCACAGCTAAAGAAAAAAAATCTGAAATCCTTATAAAAATATTTGACTAATACCCAGATGCACCAGAGAATTAATGCATTCTTTTACACTGTTCCATTCATTGTCTGCCATCTGCAACCCAGGCAATTAAGAATTCACCAGATTTCTTCAGTTCAGTATCTTCAAAGTACGGTGTTCTTGGACTCCACCTTTGGTCAGTCAGTAAAGCATTTTTCTCCAGAGGAATTAGCGGAGCAGAAAAGTATGGATATAGATTTGCCTTTCAATCCATTCAATAAAGTGAGACACATTACTATAAACTCCAGGTCCCAAAACTTTAGAAAAGCAAACAGAGCCCCAAGAAGTTAAACCAAACAATGTCCAGCGTCCAGCAGGCTGCTCACACACAAGAGGTCCTCCACTGTCACCCTGTAATGAAATGGAGATTATTCTATAGAAGAACACTGCTTGTTCAAAGGAACACCAAAGCTGGCTGAACTGAAGTCATTGTGGTTGCTGAACAAATCCTATGGACTTGAAGTAGGACACACGGAACTGATGACAGTCTGGCCACTCCAGTGAATGACATAACCATCCTGATCACTGGCCAAAGGACCACCAGCAGTGCTTTGAGCTTATTCCCCTGTGCCCCGGAAAGGACTCCATCAGCAATGGATGGTGGTGGTGTGTGCCTGAACTTTTCAATAGAACATTTCAGGGAAAGCTCTTTGCAAAAGAGTCAGCCTGGGACTCCCGGGAAGCAGGAATCTACTCTGGGAAAAGAGAGAGAGGACAGCTTGGAGAAAGCAGGCCTCCAGTTATTGTCAGAGTAAGTTGGTGACTCCTGTGTCAGTGGTGCTCCTCGTCCATTCAGCTTTATGGGAGCATTCCATGGTGCTCCAGCAGGGTGAAACTATTTTGGGAATGGTGTTCATTACCATGGCCCGATTCAAAGTGCTGCTATTAACAATCAAAGTTCTAAACAGCTTGAGGCCAAGTTACCTGAAGGATTATCTCCACACATGCACACTTCCTAAATACCTAAGATCCTCTCCAGTGGCCCTTCTTTGGGAGTTCCTGCCAAAGAAAGTGATGTGGATGGCTACTAAGAAATTGGCCTTTTTGCTGTATCACTCCAGTTGTGGAATAAGAGGATCACCTGATGCTCTTTCCAATGAGCAGGTGAAAACCTTCCTATTCTCCCAGGCATTTAGTCTTGCAGTTTCTCTTTTAAATTTGTTGTTTTAATTTTATCTTTGCATTTATTTATATTGTAGTTTTAAACTGCTAAACTTTTATACTTGTATAAAGTTTTATACTTTGAATTGTTTTGAAAAACCCAGACAGTTTTGGCTATGGTGGAATAGACGTATAATAAATGAATAAACAATCTGATCTAATATATTTGATTTTTACCTGCCTTTCCTTCATTAGAGCTAAGATTAGAAGCTTAGCCTCAAATGGTAGACTCTTTTAAGGGATCTTAATGGGAAATCCATAACTGAACAGGAACCCAACATAAAAGACACTGCCTCACACTAGTTTCACATCATGAAATCTGGCTCCATTTTGTTCTTTGTGCTAATTCAGGCAAATAGTGATACTCTTATACAATTCTTATACTTCAGGTATACTTTGTGTGTGAGAGAGAAACCAATGTGCTTGTTTGCTTCTGCGAAAGTGGCTTACCATGCAAGAGTCCACCGTGCCAGATTCATAGCCAGCACATAACATTCTGGTGGTGATGGTTTTCATGTCGAAGTATGCCTGGCAATGTTCTAAGGAAATGATACGAACTTCTCCTTCTTGAAGTTTGAAAGGCACTGAGCAAAAGGAAAAGATAACATTTCTGTCAAATTATACAACTGTAGACACAGTCATTATAGCCATGCAGTTATGTTGTGCAAAACTATGATCACCTCTCTCTAACCTTTCATACAGCTTATAGCAAGCCTGGCCCATTAATATTCCAAAGAGCTTGGGCTCCTGCAAACTGAAACCATAGTTTTGCAGGGAATTCTGCACACCAAAGAGAGAAAAAGAAGTTGCTTTCAATCAGGTCACACAGAAACTTTTTTTTTTAAAGGCTAGCACAAAACAGCTTTGAGATGCTACAAGTTCCTGACACTGCTTTTGTAGGGACTAAGGGGTAAACAAATAGGCACATCCTCAGATTGAGCACAGTATGAAACCCGGACCATTGCACTACTTCTCAGATTGCCAGCTGGTTTCACTGGGTTCCATGAACAATAGCGTCAACCCAATTGACTGCCAGTCCAGGATAGGCAGGACAAGCCCTGGCAGGATATGCTGTTGCTACCAGGAAAGCAGGACACTGGGATTCTTTCTATGGGAAAGGGGTCCATTCTATGGGGTATAATGAATCCATATAGCTAACATACATGGGTGAATCTCCATCCACACGGAAGTCATTTTAAGCAGTACTGCTACAATGTAATCAAAATTGAAAGAAACCTAAGTTGACCTTATGGGCTTTGATAAAAGGGCTTCTTTGTACCCTCTATTTGTGATAAGAGTAATCAAGGCACTTCAGGTCTTGTTGGAGGGTAGGTTTGTATTAATATGTTGCCAAAATCATGGTTTCAGTCCTTCTACAACCATGGGGTTGCATGTAACCACAGCTTTTCTTGACTATAGTCAAAGTCACTGCAGTTCTGTAAAATACATACCATAATTAGGACCCAAAGAAGAAAGAAATGCTCTGTGGCAGAGAATTGTGTGCACAGAAGCCACTTCAAATCCCCACTACCAAAAAACCCAAGTGCTTATCTGGTTACAAAGCAGATTTAGCCTTAGCCTGTGGGAATGTATTGCATTTGTGCCATAATGAAAAATCAACTATATGCATGGTTCTCTCAAAAGCACACTTCCCTTCTTTGGATTCCAGTCCCTGATCACAAACTTAAGGGTGAACAAGCTGAGAATTCTGGCTGGAGATCCTTTATATGCAACAGCTACTTCTTTACTCTTTGCAGTAGTGGCTTCCCGCTAGAGCTACAGAACAGACCAAGACTGGCAAAAGGTAAACAGAGTTGTATATGAGAATTTGGAAAACATTTGTCTTACTTTTGTTGCCCATGTGTCCCCAGCCAGTGATATAGCAATAGGTATCTGGCTCAACTCGCTGCTCCCTGCTGGGTAGGCAAACAGGCCTTACATAACTTGTCTCATTGATGTCTGCATTGAGTTCCACAATGCTTATATCATAGTCCACCACAGCTCGGTTATAGCGGGGATGCAGAATAATTGTTTTCACCATGCGGGTCTGCATGAAGACCGAAGGATGGTCCAAGTTGTTGATGCCAAACACTACTTTCCATACTGCAGGGTTTTCTCTCCTTGTAAAATAGGGGGAAATAATAATAATAAATAAATAAACAGCTCTGAATTTAGTTCTTTACAGGGGTAATTATGTCGGTGTCTCAGAAAGATGGAAACAGGGCTCTTCCAAAAACAAAATAAAAACCAGTTTCAATAATTAAGTATACAATCATATCGCCCTGCCCTAAGCACACATAACTCTCTAAACTCAGAGGCTTCCATGCATCCTATTCGCCAAACAAGTTGCAGCAGCAAGTACCACAACTTATGCCATAATTTTATCTAGACAGCTGTTTTCAGCCATCTAGATAAAGCACAGTGGAGAAGAAGGGAAGGAGACTGGAATACTGGGAGAAATACTGGGAGGCCCCAGCCTTCTCTTCCTGCTCCCAAACATGTCCCCCTTTCTCCCCTGTGAGAAACAGCTGGGGTTAGGGGCACAGGACTTCCATGAAAGTGGAAAAACTGAATATCTCTGAAAATATTCCTTCACCAAAACTCATCAGTGCCTCCTATTTGCAGCAAATTAAAGCTAGACCAATCTCCCTCCAGATGAGCAGGGCAGAAAGACATGCTTTGGAAACCTCCCTGTCTCGTCTTTCACTTCCTCTCTTATATGGCGACGACAATTTTTCACAGGAATTTTAAAAAAATTAACAGGCTGTATGGCAGTTCGTTCGTAAGTATGGGTTTTTCTTAACTCAGACATTCTTAACTCAGGTTCTACTGCTACTCAGATATTCTAATAAGATAGCAATATTCAAAGGTGATACAAAATATTCACTAATTTACTTGTAACATTTATACAACAGCTTTCCCAAGGTATAATCTGAGATACAAGAATTACTGAAACAAACATGAACGGAACAGTTGTCCAACATAAAGGAGAACTTGTGTTTTAAATACCCTTAAACTGTTTGATTACAACATGAAAAGTATTTGTTATTCCCTCAAATAACATGTAAATGCTGACATTTCAAAGCATAAAAATATTTCTGTTCTCCTGAATAGCCTTGTCTGTATTGTTTGGGTTTCAATTCCCCTTGAGAACAGAATAAGAAAATACTTCTTTTTAAAAATGTGTATCACAGGGCCAAAAAAAGCCATAATATGGAAGTGTGATCTAATAACAACAAATTAACTATGTGATTAAAAAACAACACACCATGTTCTGAATATTGCATTCAAAACTGATCTGGGAAAATGTTTCATTTATAAATGATAGGAAGCATGTGATGATTTTACATACAAAAGAAAACTGGCTGCTGGTTTTTCATCAGGCTACAGCAGAGGGAATCAAGCGAATCTGGGCCAAGCCATTGGCTCTACTGATATCAGATGCCTTTGGTTCTCCCTCAATTGTCATCTGGCAGCAGTCTTTCCATGAAACTACCTGAAATGCTTCCATCCCATCTGGATATGATAAGAACTGTAAGTTTAAGAACTGGTGCCAGCATTGGCTTGTTGCCTCAGTACTCCCTTTGTGTTGTGTCTTCTAGGACTGTACACTAGAAAACAGGAATTGTCCTGGTTTATTTTATTGATCTGAGGGCTGCTCTGAACATCTTTTTAACAGAGAAGCAAGACAAAGCTGTCTTAAATAAATAGTCCAGTGTTAGCAGCGAATCTCCAAGGTAGCAAAGCATTAATTTTGCACTACCCTTTTTGCACTCCTGAGGGAGCAAGCAGGCAAGAAGGAAAAGCTTGACCTGAAAGCAAACAAGACATCAAAACAAGTATTGATGAAACTCAGCAGTTCTAGTCCATGCCTGTACATGAAGGTGTTTTGGTAGCCCATATACATGGTTCCATCATGGAAGTAAGGAATGAAAGCGATGTAAAAGCAAATAAAAATGTTGGCGTGCAGTTCCCTAACCTTCTGTAGGCTGATTTTGCTATTGTTGTTGTTCCAGTCTTTATATTCCTGCCTTATGCAAATAATCCATGTGTTAAATGAATATAAAAATCAAAAGTTGCATAATTAACATTCAAGTAACCAACATTCACATAATCAGCTGTGGGATTCTAGATGGTTACAGACGCTCCTGATGAAGACCACAGGCTTTCTCAGATCAGTATCTGAGCTCCATCCATGCGGAAAATGCTTTGAAATATCAAAATGGACTGCAGTCACCAGAGAACAAGATTTTTCAGTACAGTTCCCTTAAGAACTGCAATGCATCTTCCAGCCACAGGCTTTAATTCTTGGTCCAGCTGAAGACTCTGTAAAGCCACAATTTCTCAGACTGCCATTCCTGTCTGACCAGGAAAGCATTCTTTGCACTACTCACCCTTCAAAGCAGTGTGCCACTGTCAAGACCCATCTCTTTGCAATGAGCACACAGCCACAAATATGCCCACTGGGCTCACTCTGAAGAGAGCACTGCCATGGCCACCGTCCTGGGCGACTGGTCCTGCCACCGAGGATCCTCTTGCTCATTCGAGCTGCAGGGCGACGCCCACAATCTATTAAGGCACATATTATGGTAATAAGTACCATACAAGAAATGCCACAATGCATTTTCTTTAAAGCCAGTTACCAGCTCCAAAACTACTTCAAGAGTATTTTTGAGAATGAAGTGAGGGTTACTAAAGAGATGATACTAAGATATATTTATGGATTCAAATCTAAGAACTGATCCCTGTTGGATCAGGTTGAAGTATTACTGGATGAGATTGTGGGGCAGTTCCTGGGCATCATGACAACAATGAAAAGTCCAACAGTGCACCACCCTCGCAGTATATTGCACCCCACCCTTTCCTTTGCCCCACTAACCATCAAATATCCATTTAGGGTTAGCCATTCCTTCCCTATGTCTCGCAACCATTCAAAAACCACTGTGGCATAGCAGGTAGGAATGACAAAATGGAATGAATGGGAGTATGGCAGGAAGTGGGGAGGGGGAGGGATATGACTGTGGGGGTGATGGAAAGAGCACATGAGTGCAGAGGGAGGGAGGGGGAAAGAACAAATGTTAGGGGAGATGGGGAAAGAACTCTCTGGTTCTACTGCCAATCAGTTTAACTGAATAACACTGAGTCCTGGTATTATAACAGGGGAGGGGAAAATATCCATCTACTCACTTTTTCCTATGCTCAAGGTTTGCAGAAGTACAAATCTTTAGAACACAGCAAAACCCAGCTTCAAAACAAAACTAAGGCAGGGTGTGTGTATGGGGGCAGGGGGTGAAGATAACCCTAAACAAGCAAATGCAGACTGAGCGTGCTTAGTGGAGCAATTCTGACCATGGAAGGTAAAAATGGAAAACAGGAGTGAGGGATGGAATAAAGGATGATGGATGCAGAAATTTCCACACTGCAAGGTTTTTTTACACATTCCACTTGTCAGTGGCTATTTGTCACAATCATTTGATGGCATCTCCAGGTTTAGGGACAGGAAGCCATTCTGTGGCAGCTGTGAGAAAGCAACAAGAAAGAAGGCTGCCGCTTTAAACCTTGCTTGTGAACTCCTACAGGTCATCTGTTTGCCACTGTGGGAAGCACAAGGATGGCCTAGATGGAACTTCAGTCTGGTTTAGCAAAGCTCCACCTAGTTTCTTACAAAGGATTTGCTAGAACATGTGCATCCTTAGAAATAAGTGAGGCTTGCCAGTGATGGGAAAGAACTTGTCTAGCTTTCTCCTGTCTAGGTAGATATTGTTCATCTTACCTTCTTTGGTGCACAGAAGGGAAACCATACTCCTGCTTCTGCATGGCAACCTGGATAAAGAGAAAATTTTCCTTTTCAAAGTAATTCTATTTGCATAATTGTAGTTCCTGCTTGATATACGCATATGCTGTTGTGAAATGTGAACTGGGTCACTGATGTTTCATATTGGATTCAGACTTAAGCTGGAACAACTGTGTTGGTGAAAAGAAAGTTGACCACCTTCCCATGGCAGCCTTCCAGCACCCTAAAAATACTTCAAAGAGTCAAGAGACCCTGATGAATGGGATGAATTGAGGTGTCGGAGAGGAGGATCCCCAAAAATTGGACTGTGGGTTCTTCCTTCACTGAAGCCATTCTTCCCAAGGAAGGCAGACTCATCATGCAAACCCTCGAATTTTGAATTTTTGAAAATTTGGAAAAATCACAAATTTCATGCTCTTTCAAATTCATGCCAGAAATGTCGCAGTTCACTTTCCTTTTAATAATGAAACAACTCTTGCAAGAGCACTCAAAGTTTTGGTATGTTTTAAATGAACTATAATTTAATTTTTGTTTTTCTGGAATGTATTATAATTATAGCTCTTTATTTATTAACCTGAAAACCAAGTTAACCTAAACTCTGTTTTTTTAATCCCTATGCAATAAAAGAAATGGGATAAACAAAATGATGACAGACAGATCATTTCCAAAAGATCTAAAAAAATACAATTTTATCTATATACTTATTTATTCTATTACTTTCTCTGTACATTTATCTGTAGAATTGTATTTTTTGGACCGCCTTGAAAAACAATTCCAAATTTCATCAGTTCTTTATCCCCATCCTTTTACTGCATTCATTTGTTTGGTTAAGATATATTTTCCTGCTGGTTTGTTTTGCTTTTTTGTTTAATTCCTAAACAACCCAGAGTGTCCAGATACAGATACCACACTAACAATCTACAAACAAGGAAATAATAGGTTGGTGATTGAAAGTGGAAGCAAGGCAGCAGCATCATTCACTCCTACTCATTCCTACTAATTTGCAGGTCAAGCAACTCCTGAATTTTCATGATATGTGGGCAGTTTCTGCTAGAAAGCATTTTCCACATTTCAATTTTTCTCAAAACAGTTTCAGTACTATGACAGCAATTCTTCAGACAGGCCTACACAGCCTAATTCTTTCTTCTGTCAGCACCAAAGTGAAAGCTGTGGCGAGACTACACTAGCCCCTGCAGGCACAGTAGGTATGATGCAGCATGACAGACCTTGACAACAACGTTACATCCATGCAACCCATGATAACCTGCTGCGGTTCCTTTCAAGAGGCAGCCAAATGCAAGAAAGGGGTGCTTGCCACTTGGTACTTCCTTCAACTATGGTAATGAGTGGCTTGGCTTCTGAAAGACATCCTTCTAGAAATGCCCCCAAAACATAGGCAGTCTGAATTTAAAATTCATTGGTGACAACACAGAATCAGAAGAAAGATACAAAGCATGCAAAATATAATGTTTTAGTAATGTTTACATAGATGGAAAGCATTTTCTATATCCCAGAGAGTTTCAGGTAGATGGGTCCTAGCATTAACTACAGAAGGCATTGTTCAACCAGTGTAGTTTTTTTTTTCCCTGAATGGATTTTCTCTGGTATGAAAGCAGAAGCAGCAACGGGAAAATATTGGAAAATTATAAGGCTGACAGCAGGCTTCTCTGTAAAACTATGTGAATGAGGCTGCTGAAGGAAAGTAAAAGCTTCATCTGGAAGCACTCAGATAAAATTGTGCAGCAAAATACACAAGAGCCAGGGGTGCACATTCCCATTGTAACTGCAGTGCAAATGGAAAGAGCCACGATTCGTAGCACAAGGATAGGTCAAACTGAATATCTCATGTCCAAATTGATATTGGATGTGGAACAGTACTCATTCAACCTCACCATAGTTCTTGCTCCAGCAAGGGAATCAGTGTATGAAGGTTGCTACCACAAAGAGATCTTCCATGCTATATCAGGACTGCCAGAACACAAGTTAGTCTTCTTACATATTGCAGCAAAAGAAGGACAACTATTTCTTACCCTGTCACTAAAAGGGCTTGTAATGTGGATGTGTTTTTTCTCTCCCATTCAGACTGTAGATTCATCCATTTCTCATGATGTGGTTGCTTATATTCTGGAACCATTTCAGTCACTGGTGGCCCCCTGAAACAAGCACACATCTAAGTTGCTTAGTACATTTATTTCTATCAAAACCTGAAACTGTGTGGAAAGTTTATGCTTCGGTGCCCCAAGCTACAGCAAAAATATAGTTCATGTGCATGCCAAGGAAAACACTTGCTCACACTCAGGTTGCATGCAAGCAGCACAACATTCAAAAGATTTTTATTGTATGCACAGCACTGTATTTAGTAAAGAATGTAACTTCCTCTGTTTTGCAGTTCAGGCGAAGCTAGAACTAGCCTCCCTTGACTTACAAGCAGCTGTCACCATTCACTTTGTTTCAGCCTAGGACCAGGCAAACATCCCAGATTGAAGGTTATTTACCTGAGGGGAGAGAAGCTACTCCTAGCAAACTCTCACCTGGCAACATCCATGAAGAGACCAATCTATTCTTTCTTGGTTGAGGTGATCTATTGTCTATGCAAAATATCCAGCTCACGTTTTATTAAAGCTTAAGATGAAATTGGGGTGGGGGAAGGGAGAAATGACAGAGTGGAATAGAAAGTAAACCATTCTGAATAACCCTATTCAAGATGAACTTTCACAGGATGTGTAGTCCTACTTGCAGGTGCAAAGGATCCTCAGAAAAATACATTAACATCAGAGGCAAACAGCTCCCTATGTCAGTACTCCAGATGGATGTGGATTAGGGGGTTGGGATGAAACAATCAGTTGGGTGTAGCTATCCTTAATGGGCAAATTTGGGATACTAATTTTAAGTATGTCAGTCATCATGTAGGCTGAAAAGCCATACTAAATGAGTGATCAGTACCAAACAGCCTATCAATAGGAGGCATTAATAGGAGCTCTCTCACCTCTGTTCCTTGGAGGCATGATCCACTGTGGCAGATAATTCCATCCTGCCTATTTGGGGTGATACAAGACCTAACAGAAATCTCGGAAAGGACCAGGAAGAAAGCCTTAAAGGGACATGTATCCAGTGGTCTGCCTGTCTTTATCTCAGCACTTGGAGTGCTTGCATGTCAAAGCTGCTGTCACCAAGGTCTTTCAGCACAGGAAGGCATATGCTGTATACAGAGTGCTTTGCAAAATTACACTCTCCATGTCTGGTGTCAGCCTTAAGAGTTTTCCCATGGCCATCAACATGAGCTAAATAATTTCTAAAATAGGTCTTAAACAGGCAGTTGAATTATATCCAAGTTCTGTATATGTGTTAAGGAAGGAGTTTGCCAAAGGTAAACCAGATAATGTTTTATTGTATTAATAGCGAGAAAATCCAGGAGAAGGGAAGAGAGTGGGAAATGGAAATTGCAAGTATTTTCTCTGGTGACTCAAAGCATAGCTCGTTTTACTTTACATCTGTCTAATGCATTACTGTTTTGTTACAATGTTAATGATCACATTCAGTGTTTGTCTCTCCATGGATTTCTTCTTCCTGGCCATTCTTTTCTTATCCATTATGTGCCTGTCAATCTAATTCCCATTGCTTTTATAATAAGATATTATCAGGAGTATTCATAGAGTGGAAGGTTTTATTTTCCTTAAGTTGATCAAGAGAACTATTCAAACCAAAGAATATCTCAGGTTGTATTAGAATCAGGAGTTTCTTTTAAAAGACTTAGAAGCAGTAACTAATCTGATCTGGCAAGTCTGCAGGTCTGGTTTCTGACTCTTTTTGCCTTTGGGTATCTAAAATGTCCCTTCTATGATCAAAGTGCTCTGTTACAAGGCAATTCATGCAAACTCTTAGACTCTCAGGGGTGCTGCTGGTTCATCAGGTGCTAACATTTAATTAACTATTCATTTCCCTCTTCTTCTTTCCGAATCAGGTAATTCACACCTGGAAGGGCAATTAAATTCAGTCTAAGGACAATTTTTCAAGGCACAATCCTATGCATGTTTAGACAGAAAAATTCTACAGTTCCCAGCATGCCCTAGCCACCTGTGTAAACAAGCGTAGGATTGTGCCCTAAAAAAAAAATATTTAAAGTCTTTTGTAGGATAAATAACAAAACTAAATTTACAACAGATAGAAAAATATAATTTATTTTGTAATTTCATTCTTTTATTTCTTTTATTTTTCATTGCTCAGGAATTCTGCTGGCAGTGTATAAATAATGCAAATAAATAGGTTTATGCTAAAGAATACCCACCCCACTTCAGAATACAATCACTCCTAGGTAAAAAAAAAAAAAAAAAATATGTCTACTTTGTCATCAACCTCCAAATTCTTAATCTATTTTAAGGCATTGGTCCTTTTTTCACAATATTTCTAGCTATTACTATTATATTCATATTTTGCTTATTCCCATTACCAGGACTCAAGGTGGCTTGCAACATTAAAACTTATTCAATTAAAATATTAACAGAAATATATACATTAAAATTAAACCAAATCAATAATTAAATATAAATTAAATCAAATTAGTGTACAACTAAAAATGTCAAAAGTTTTTGCAAATATGTGACCCAAGTACCTTCTGTATAATATAATAACCAAGCTCATTAAGAAGCTGGGATTGGCTATAACTGCCTGTTGACAGCACTTTTCATGGAAACTCCCACTCTTACTTCTACAGAATACATAAAATTGCCATAACAACTCAGAAAATAAAGTTATGCAAAAGCATTTTGTATCACTTGGGGCTATCTCCCCCGTCTGGAAAATAGTTCCCCTAAAAATAACAACTTTAAGAGAAAAAGGGGGAAATTATTATTTAACAAGTCAATCAATAGTGTAACTGTTTGGAGGTGTGCCAGTTGTGCACAGTTATCCTAAGCAAGCTTACTTGGAAAACAATCTACTGTGTTCAGTTTGGCTTACAACCAGGTAAAGGTGCCCGGGTTTACATCCCTAGTTCCTCAAAGCCATTCTTCCCCAACATGGTACCTGAGGCATATGGTGAGGGCATATAAAAGTTTTAAATAAATGAATAATACCCTCTAGATACCTTAACTGCCATTCCTATTGTTCCTAGCCAATAGTCATCCTGGCCAGGGTGGACGGCAGCTGTAGATCCTACCCGAAGGGTGCAAGGTTCAGGAAGGATGCTCTAAAAATAGCTGCTGAAACCTACTTGCTTATAGGTCAGGCTCTTACAGGCACTGGAATTCATTATGTAATTCAGCATTCAATAGAACTATGAAACTTTAAAACTGCTGCGTTTAAATGCCTGTTTGCTATGGAAAACTAATAAGACCCAAGCACAGGCAAGGATGTACTTTACTGAGGCCTGGCACCTTCTCATTCAAGGAGCTATCCTAAGACAAAACAAAGTTTCTGCTTGATTAATGGCCCCTGTCCTCTGCAGGTACAAATGGAAGAACCTAAACACATCAAACCTTTCCTGGGAAATGACTAGCTTACAGCAAAACAAAGGATCTTAAAAGAGCAACTGACTAAGGTTACAAACAGAGAAGCATATAAGAGCCTTAAGCACTCGGTTTAAATTCTAGGTAGGAAATCTATACACCGCAGAAGGATTAAAAAGTGCTGCCCCTCTCAGAAACCATCGTAGGGGGCTAATGAGCAAAGGGCTTGCTCTCCTGCAGCCACAAGACACTCCTCAGAGGTGCAAACTGATTGAATGTACCAGTACTGAGGATTCTAGCAGACTTATCTGGAGATGTTCCAAGATCCCTGACAGGCCCTTCTCCCCCAACACTTAACTTGGTTTATGATACCAGGAAACAAAGACATTTCAGGTGCTGCTATACCCCCCCTTTTAGTGGTGCTGTGCTGAAAGGCCAGAAGGACTCAGAAGTTCTGAGCATTCAGGATAATAATAACTGCCAAGTGGTTTTCGGCATTCCAGAGCGGTGAGGGAGGAGTGAGCCACACTTTCTCTGTCTCCTACTCCTGACATAATGCAGAAGGATGGAGATTTGTAAATGTCCAAGATGGAGAGTCTAATTAGTCAGGCTTCCTCTATAGCTATTTTGGTAGAACATTTAAAACCATACTCTGCATCTACTGAACAGAAAATTGATTACATTGACAATGCAAAGATGTAATTCACACCTACATATTCACCACTAGGCTGCAACCTCAAATGATGGCATGCATTTATGAATGAGTCATTACAGATCAAATACTGACATAGTTGTATCGGCCCGGATACAATATTTTGCAATGGATTGGTTTTCACATGTTTAGGTTTAATTCATTAAGTCCTACTTCACACGTTCATATACATTACTTGGTTTCGCTACATTTGATATGCAGTGTAGAAAAATGGATTAAGTCTTATTTTTCTCTCTTTCACCTAATACTAGGCCATCCCATGAAGCTGATCAACTGGGGATTCAGGTTAGGTAAAAGAAAAGGGAAGTGAATTCTACAGTGGAAGAGAATTCCATAGTTAAACTGTGAAGTTCTCTTCCACAAAATGTAGTGACAGCCAACATTCTAAATGCCTTTAAAAGGAGACTGGAGAAATTCATAGAGAGTAAGACTATCAATGGCTACCAGTATTGATAGATACATCAGAACACATGCTACTTCCAGTAACGGAGGCAGTATGCCTATATAAACTAATTGCTGGGGAACTTGGGCAGCTGTGCGGCATTCACATCCTACTTGTGGGTTTCCTGTGGGGAAAAGACTGAGCAGAATGTTGGACTAGATGGACTAGTCTGAGCCAGCTTGGCTCTTCTTATGCTCTTATGGCTTGTGGCAACTGCATGTGTGACTTGACTCCATGGAAATTCATAGTGTTTCAGGTGAAATCAAACTCAATCTGTAGTTTTAAGATGGTCTGTTCATGAAAATCATCACTCAATATTGCAGTCATCAAGTGCTGAATGTCAGTGCCAGATTTTATTTTCCTGGGCTCCAAGATCACCGTAGATGAGGACTGCAGCCAAAAAATTAAAAGACGCTTGCTCCTGGGGAGGAAAGCTATGGCAAATCTAGAGAGCATACTAAAAAGCAGAGACATCACTCTGCCAACAAAAGTGCGTATAGTCAAGGCTATGGTTTTCCCAGTTGCAATGTATGGCTGTGAAAGCCGGACCATAAG